ACGAGTGGTGCCGGGTACCGTCACTTGCCCCCCCCCCCCTTCCTCCTCTTTTTCGTTCTTTCTCCGCACGTTTGGAGCCGTAACGACCACGCAACACAGCGTCTGCTGGCCCCCGGCTTCGAGTTGGTGCGGACTATCCACAAGCACACCCTCAACGAGCGCACCACGGAGGTGAGCCCCCCCCCCACACTCTCACCCCCACACCAACCCTTCGTTTTCGCTTTCTCTTCGAAGTGAGCTTGGTCCCGGCCCACGTGGTGTGCCGGCTCCGTTTTTTGGTTGGCGGGAGCGGTACCGAACTAAGAACACTGCGACAGTCGCTGGCCAGGTTGCTGCTGCGGTTCTTCAAGGCCCACGACCGGGAGCGGGATCTGCTGCAATGGGTCGTGTCCGAGGAGGTGACCAAGGCCGCCAACCCCGACACCATCTTCAGGTATCATTTGTTTTCATTTGTTTTCATTATTAATGCACGTACCACTTACCACTTTCACGCCTGTGTAGAGAAGAGTCTCTGTCGATGAAGCTGCTGTCGTTGAATGCCTTCACCGGCCGTGGTACGACCGCACTCATTTTTTATGTATATCTGTTTATATTTTAAACAAATGAATTACATTTAATTCCCAATTAAATGTACCTAAAATGTTCGTGGGATAGGCATCGAGTTTCTGGAGCGGACCGTCTTGGTTCTCATTCGCGACGTTCAGGAATTGAACCTCAGTCTCGAGGTGCGCACTTGAGTCCCTCTCCACCGACCGACTGGGCTGATCGAATTAACACAACACACACGACATGCACAACACACCACACGCCACACGATGCACACAACACGACACGTGGGTGGGTGCAGACGGATCCACGCAAAGTGAGCCCGGGAGTGGACGCTGAGATGAACTGCCGAGCGCTGGTCGAGAAGACCGAATCGCTCCTCTCGCTCCTCTTCGCCTCCATCCACCTGCTACCCCCGTACCTTTCGCGCCCCCCCCCCGCTTCAGGTCGTCCTTGGGGATTCTAACGCAATTTCTCGCAGGCTGCTGCGTTGGGGCTTCTCCATCGTGCGGCACGAGGTCGGACAGCACTTCCCAGAGATGGGGTACCATGCCGCGTGTGTCGTGTGTGTGTCGTGTGTGTATCGTGTGTCATGAGGTGACTGTTGGTGGGTAGGGAGAGCATCGTGGGCAGCATTCTGTTTCTCCGCTTCATCTGCCCGGCCATCGTCTGTCCCCACCGCTTCCATCTCCTCCCCGGTACCCGACCTTCCCTTTATCTGCCCCCCTCCAAAGAGCGAAGCGTCCATAAGTAGACAACGCAATCTCTTCTCTCTTCTCTCCGTTCTCTTGGCAACCTTCAGAGGCGCCCACCGGCAACGCAATGCGGACACTCATCTTGATCTCCAAATTGCTGACCTCCCTGGTACGTACGGAGTTGCGCGCGCGTCCGGTGTTGACTCAGTCGGCGTGCGTGGCAGGCGAACGGCACGGTTGCTGTGGGCGAATCCGCCGCGCTGGCCCATTTCGTGGAAACCAACTCGCGCGTCGTCGAGCGAATCACGCTGGCCATCGTCGAAGACCAGCGTATGCGTGCCATTCCTATCTTTTGGTGTGGCCACACTGAACTAATTCACTTATCCGCGCAATCTCCAGCGGAGAGGGACGGCGAACGCTCCGGCGAGTTGGAAGCAGCGGTCGAGCATCAACATCAGGCGCCGGCGGGGAAACCCGACCAGCAGAATGCGCTGCACGAGCTGCTCGACTACCTCGCACAGGTATAGGCCACGGTCGTGTGTTGATCGTGTCGGCTGACTCGCGCAAGCACTCACGCACTCACTCGCTCACTTGGTGGCCACCTTTCGCTGCGCAGTGCGTGGCCGATGACCAGATCTACGGTTTCCTCCCGGACGACCTCACGCTCATCGCACGCGTACGACTTTCATTGTGTGTTGTATGCGCACGTGCGTGTGCGGTGATGCGTGTTCGTGTGCGGCGCACGTGCGTGTGCTCTGGTGTTGATGAATTCAATCTGCCCTCGCTGGATATATAGAGCTGCCGGGATCAGGTGAAGCGAATGGAGATTGCCGTGGCGAGCCCGGACTGGAAACTGCTCAAGAAGAAGAACGGCGTCTCCACTTTCATCAGAAAGAAAGCTCAGGTCAAGACACGCACACACGAACCACCGCACACGCACACACACACGCACACCACCGCACTCACGCGGAAGCTATGGTGCAGGGCAAGAAGGTGCTGTGTATCAAGGCCCAGGCGACGGTGCCGGCGGACATGAGCACACTCCACGCGTTCCTCGTCCTCGAGGACTGCCTCCTCCGCGGGTGCGAGGACCAGCCGACCACCCCGGCCCCATCCGCCGACTCAGCCAAAAAGCTCCGCCGCTCTCTCTCCGGCAGCATCGGCCACTCCGTGCTCCGGTGCGCCCGCGTCGTCGACACCATGACTCA